CCCCAAAACCCCAAAACCCCAAAACCCCAAAACCCCGGTGCCTACATAAAAAATGGAAACTATATAATTACAATTTTATTATTTGAGTTTAACACAAATTCCTCTTCTAAGTCCTCAAAAGGTCTCTTTTCCCTTCATTCCTCTCTCCTCTCAATTCCCTCTTCTCCAACTTTCCGCCTTAAGATTAAACTTCTAAAATTTATTCCATTTGGATCCAATCGAAAATTAACATTTTAAATGCTGTACTCCTCATCATTATATTCTAAGTTTAACCATGCCAATTCTGGCTCATTACCGAGCTCAGTTATAGCTAAAGAAATACAAAGTTGCTTATCTATTCGTAAGGAACTTGATAACCATATAGACCGGTATTTGAAAAATAAATGCGAAACAGAAAAAGATAAAGCATTCATGAGTGAAGTATTATTCATAGTCCTCAACTGTGGTTTCCTTTGCTTTGACCCAGAGGAAGCTGATAGTCTTCATACTCAAATTAGCAACCTAGTGAGGCGATGAAGTCACGAAGACCCAGATTACTTGCTAATGAAGATCTTGGATAACCTCGTCCAATACTGAAATGTAAATACCCCTTCAGAAATCATGTCCAAGTACTTCTCAGGCTGAGAACCCAAAAATGCTAAAGAAGAAGCCATCTCGCCTGATTCCCATTACCAAATGTCCCAGCCAGGAGCTTCTACGCACACCTCTGAGTTCTGTATCTGCCAATCGCCAATTGCCATTGCTAATGATCCCCGAATAGTCTTGTCAAATATGCTTTCGTCTCTAAAGACACCAAAGATGGAAGAGTTTGGGCTTTATCATAAGCAAGAGGCTCAGCTGATGGAGAATGCCCTGAAAAGAATTTTTATGAAGAGAAGAGTGGAGAATGCAAAAATTGAGGTTTAAGAAAGAGCAGGTTATGGTAGCGACCTATAAGAGTTGTGAATTACGGAAAGGGCTGAAGCTTAACATGTGTTCAATAAACAACATCATAACAGATCTTCAACCACTTCTCCCAAACCCAAACCTCTAAAAATTCCTCCTTATCTCCATTCGAAGAGCCTCATCCCTACCAAAACCCACACTTTAAAACAATGTATAAAACTAAGACTCAAAGTTTAACCTTCAAGGCCAAGAAACAACCATTTCTCTAAGCTCCTTATAACAAGCTTAATGAATTATAACAGAAGGAGGAACAATAGAGCCAACTCCGAAAAGGAATAAGAAGAGACAGAAGGAAGTGAAGGAGGAAGACCAGGACACCCAGATTAGTAGAGGAAGAGAAGGGATGGTATGGACAGAAGTTGGAGAAGAGGGGTTCTGAAGAAATTTTGGGGTTGAAGATGAGGCGATAAGGCCATCCTGGGGATTTGGAATTATAATCCTAAATTTAAGTTATAGCAAGTTTAAGACTGGAATCAGTCGAGCCATAAGAGCTTACTTTGGAAGAAGACAGACGCGAAGAGCAAAAAATATCCGTTTTGGACTAGCATGGAGGGGCATCCAGAAAGATGGAGTAATGAAAAATTGGAGAGAGGTCCAAAACAAACAGGAGTTAATGCAAGCCATAAAGTTCTAAGTTTAAGAATCTATAGTTCGTAAGGGGTAAAGTAACCAATTTGGTCGTTTTATTAAATATTGAGTCTCCCTCATTGAACCTTCAATGAAAAATTTAGTCGTCGGAAGTTACAGTGAAATAGTATGATAAAAAATTATTTTGGTGAAAACCCATACCTCATTTCTATCACCAATGTGCTTAAAAATATAATAGTTGAAGAAGGAGTTTGAAAAATATTTTTTAATTTGTTAGACTGTAACAATCTCATATATTATTCCAAGCCATTTAACCTCACCTGATCAACCCAACTTCATGCTCCTCTCCCTATCCCAAAAACCACTCATATTATACCAGATTTCACTTATCCCCTACTCTTAAACTCCTCACTCAAAACCCAACATCTATAAAACACTTAAACCTGGCTAACAGCCAAATGCACATTTTGATTTCAGGAAGGGTTCCCAGAAATCCCCATTTGGAAGTTTAACTTAAAATTAATAATTAGAATAGAGTCAGGCTTAGAATGGCTTGTTGGGGTTTTGGGGTTTTGGGGTTTTGGGGTTTTGGGGTTTTGGGGTTTTGGGG